GGCGTATTCGGTTCTGATGCATCTGTACGCACGTATGCCTTCTCTTGCTGCCTTGTGCATCTGCGTTTGTGATGTATTACAAGCGGAGGTGACATTCTAGGGACAGCCCCTTCTGTCCTGCAGATAACTACTCCCTTATGCATAGGAATCTTGACAAACTGAAACCCCAAAATTGCTCGAAAATTCGACAGATTGAGTTCAGATTCGCAAACATACCCATATATTATGTGTTCCTTCACCGACAATCTCTTCTCATGAGATCTCGGTGCCACCGAAACCAGTATACAGGATTCTTTGACCGCTGTAAGTTGGTTCCCATTCGCAAATTCTATTCCATGCGCCACTTTTCCTCGGTTGGATTATTGTGTACCACTCATTTAGGACAATAAATCAAATTCTTTCTTCATTTGGGACCAACGAACGGAAAACTGATGCTTGTTCCTCGTATGCACCAAAGTATTGCAACTCTCTTGATGTGAAGCGCAAATTACATATTGGTTTAACCGCCATTGACCTTCGCCAACCTGCCAATTCTTGTCTTGCAAGTGTAATATGCCCCATCCGTCGAAGTCGATGAAACATAGGCACTCACCTTCGTACGCGTCTACAGCTACTTACCACTCCGTATTTACTCAGTGAATATTGGTCATTCATTTGGCCGGCCTGGATTGTGTGATGCCATGTACACAGCGATTTTTCGTCACGCATACCTGTTGTTAATCTTGTCCTTGTAACCATCATGCTTCTGCAATATGCAACGCTGATCGGACTGCTGCAGTGTACACCCAACCCTTCAGAAGCAGACAGATGTCTCATTTCAAAAAACGCCGGCCACTTTTCGTGCGGTATTTTGTATAACAAAACTTCATTCATCCAAAGACGCGTGGCTTTAAACTTGCTAACGGCAATATCTATTGGTTTGCTTCTTAGAATGAAATCGAATGTTATTGTTAACGTTGATGCTATAATCGGCTCTCAATTTTCGTTCTTGAACCCCAATTACCCGAGCGACAGGTTGTGTGAAAAGCCGCCATTGATTTGTGGAGGTGGAGTCTCGATGAAACACGGGCGCACCCTGGACCTCCGACACTCATCACAGTCGAAATGAATGAGCGCTAAGATCTCCTACGACATAGAAGGGGCAACACGGATTTACAGTGGTGAGGAACCACTGACAGACATTCTTCCTGAATTGGAGTTAGCTGTACAGTTCTGTAAAACAGAAAAAACGATCATGGGTCACGAGTTCCTTGTGAAGCGTAAACAGTCATGCAGGAATTTTATTGGCTGTGGCGAGCCAAGTGCCACAGCTTTCACCTTGTATTTTCTATTCCGTTTGGAAGAACGAAATGATTTCTATTTAGTTAATGTGAATGGATAGTTGCAACAGAGACCGGTTATACTTCATGATCGTTTGGAGCGATTTGCAAGAAAGCGATACAAATTCAAGAGTTTGACGGCACATTGATTAATATACAACAGCGCCATCTTGAACGTAGGACAGAAGATTTTAAGGCACTGTTCACCTAGCCCTCGTCGACACAAGACCTTCCCTACCCGCTTCAATTGTGCAAATACTGTCAGTTGACATCNATCCTCTATTTAATATGGAGGTTACCCGAGAAATATGTTACCTCACAAGGTGTAAAGCTTCCGGCCCCAACGGGCTGTCACCATCGGTTTTTAAGGATGGAGGTCTAGCCTTAGTTTCAGAGTTAACAAAACTCCTGGATTCAGTGTGCGAGAGGGAACAGGTTCCAACTTAATGGTGTGAATCGGTCATCATACCGATTTACAAGAAAGGCGACAAATCCTCCTGTGAAAACTACAGAGGAATTAGTTTGATCAACATCATCTCTAAACTTCTTGCTGGTGTTATACTCCGTCGATTGTCTGCCGCATGTGAATGGTGTACGCGTGAGAACCAGGCTGGTTTCAGACCTGGTCGATGTTGTATCGACCACATCTTCACTCTTTGTCAGGTCTTAAAACACAGACACTCCTTTCGTAGACCCACCATTTCTGTCTTCCTCGATGTGAAGCAGCTTTCGACTCAGTTGATCGCTAAAATCTCTGGCGCTGCGTCGCTCTAAAGGGTGTGCCCGAGAAGCTTTTTTGAATATTACAATCTCTCTATGCGCATAGCTGAAGTCAAGCTTGAGCTTACGGCACTTTTTCGCCCGAGTTAACTACAGAAGGTGGTGTTCAACAGAGTTTCTGATTAATTTTGTTATCGATTTCATTCTCCTGCGAGGATAGCGGTATCGATTCACTCCCAGGTGACAGACTGTCTTATTTAGAGTATGCAGGCGATATTGTGTTACTACGTGATCCAGGTAAGTTGCAGGCTTTTCCAGATAGTTTGAGTGCTAGTGAGTTTTGGACCTTCAAAGTGTAAAATTGTGTAATAATATTGGGTTGATCTGGACCCCAACCTCACCCTGATTAAAGAAGTAGTAGAGGAATTAGACAAATTTTGCTATGTAGGCAGCTATATCTCACTTGGCGGACGCATCACGGATGAAGTGTCGGGGCGCATACAGAAAGCTCGGTTAGCATTTGTCAACTTGAGACATCCGGTTGTCTGTGAAGAGTTCAGTGTATGCTGCGGCAGTTCGGCCAGTTCTGCTCTACAGTGCAGAGACTTAACCACGGAAACGTGATAGGTTGTCGGTGTTCGAACATCACTGTCTACGTCGCATTGTACGAGTCTGGTAGGGTAACTGGACTCGCAATGCTGAGGTTAGGCGTAGAGTTTTAGGCAGTCGCGGTCGTCCACTGGAACAAGTGATCGACCTCCATGGATTACGTTGGTTGGGGCATGTTTTACGCATGTCACCAGATAGGTTGCCACGGCGAGCGCTGTTGACCGAGGCAGGTAGCGTTTGGAAAAAGATCAAGGGTGTTCAAACTAAGACCTGGCATGAGGGTATAAAAACCCTAACCTGGAGACTAAATGACCTAGGCCCCGTTAGGCTCTCTGGCTGGGGACCCCGAGATGGTGGTCATCGATGATTAGGGACTGAGTGATATGGCTGGGTGTTGCAAACAGTGACACTCATACATCTACATATTATTCTTGCAACCCCAGTCTATATGATTTCTCCATTTTCCGCTTGAATTTGCTTTCAATAATCTAGTCTTCATTCTGCTGCTTTATCCAAATTGGCGACCAAAAGACAGCAAAGAAAACTGGCGCACGAAAGTGCACGACTACTGGTTATAAAAACTGAAACTGATACAAATTCTTCCCTAAGAACACCGGCCTACACTCCTACACTCCAAATATCTATACGCTTCATTTTAGGACATTTCAAGCCAAGCTAATTGATTTCGATTCTTTGTATTGAATATACAGGTATACATTTTAGAGCAAGAAGGTTGGCAGCAGCTGTTCAGCACACAGATATAACGGAAAGTGGTATTCGGCATTGGCGCCGGAGTGGTAGGATGACGAGCATGACTACTTGAAAAAGTCGTCCAAGAGGTGAAAGCTAATACTTATATCGGACTCCAAGGTACGTGCCTGAAGTGGCATAGTGCTTAGAATTGTGTGCTTTAGGGTGGTTCAAACTTGCATGGTTAGTGGCATGCCAGAGAACACAGTGTGAACCGAGGTCAGACAGTCGAATGAGTGTATGTACTGTCAGAGTTGCAGACGATCGACTTCGTGGAAGAAAGATAAAGGTCACGGGATTAGCAAATAGATAAGAAAAATTGTAGGTCGTGATCAAGTGAAGTCACCAGAAGAGCAATCACAAATAATGGATTGATGAAAGTTTTTTCGCAGGCTGGAAATTTGGGAATATTTACTCGGGAAGAGGCTCGTGTACACATTGGACCTCGTGACTGCGTCGTGCAAGTGAGTAAACACACGGACTGGCTGTCATATCCGAAATAGCCATCACAAATCGCACGATATTGTATCCATGGTCCAAATCACTGCTTCTTTAACCAGACTCGTTTGATAGAAGACGGTGGTTGGAATCTCCAATAGCAGCATCTTTGAAAACCACAGACAAATTAGCAGTGCTTAGGTTGCATTTGGTTTTAGTAGTTTTGAATAAGAATGTTTCTAAACGACCAGCTGACAAACAAATCGAAACTGTGCCTTGATAAAATTTCGGATACGAATCATTGCTCACAGCTCATAAGCCTATCAATCATATTTAGTGGTTCAGGGAAATGATGTTGTGCATAAAAATGCGAAATTTTTGCGGCTTTTGCCGCACATCCATTGTGGTAAACAGTAACACGGGAAAGTCCCACAGACGTATTGTTCAGTTACGGACACATTGGATTTAAGCCCTTGGACTGGGTACAACAAATGACACGTTTTTGAACCGGATAATAGAGTAGCTTTGGACCAGTGAAGTTGTTTGGTGTTGGTTTGCGGGGTTCAAACCACAGATTCCAGCCCCGGATCGAACCGTAAAAGTTTGGCCACCAACACTTGGAAAATCACACGGACAGATGTTGTGCGTGTATCGGAATGATCTGGGTTTGAACAACACTTGACTTTTCGTTCTGTGTTCAGTTCTTGTTGTTGTTGGTTTATGAAAACCTGAGGTAAAATCTGATTGCGATCGTAGGAAAATGGCTTTATTGTATGTTGAATATCCTCCAGCTTCGAAGTTAATACTTATTACGGCAGTAACAAGTACAGTTATAGACACAATGGGAACAAGATAGTTCTTCCAGAAAATGTAAGATCCAATACTGTCGATGTCTGATGGAAAATTCGCTCCTCTTCTCGAATTGATCTATTATTGGTTTCCCCATAATTGTTTGTCTAAACAATTATCGATATTATGTTGTATTGTATTTCGTGATCGATTTTTCATTTCTGTTCTGGAATATTATTCCTATTGCGTTCATTTTAACTGTTCCTATTTTCTGCTCATCTTGTTCCTTCTGTCCGAATGACAGAATGAAGCTCTGGCCACCATCCAGAGTGTTCTTCTCGGGAGGCAAACGTGTTCTACCGATTCGAATAACAGTGGCCAATCCACAGTGAATTTTTTCGACCGGTTGCAGCAATTTTTGGATAAGATCGGTCCGGTGGTAAATCGTTTACCCCTTCAAAACATTCAGCTACCAACTGCGGAAATGCGACCAGCGTTTGAGTCGGATTTACGGAGCGCTGTTGCCACTGCAAAATTGGTGAGTTGGTTGCTGTTCAAAATGTAGTCTTCGTAGAGTTGTCTATCATAGTGATGATGAATATACTCATAAACCTCTAAATATGCTTTATCTGTATGTCAAGAAGCTATACGATAAGACATTGCATCATGACTGCAAAGTATGCTCTTGTTTGCCTGCGTTTTTAACGGGAAAACCACAAAACCGTTTCCGTTCTTCGTATGATTAGAGATTTTGGTTTACTGGTACTATTGTGGCATTAGGGTATAGCAGATCGACTCCAGAAAAATTAGTCAGACCACTGTGGTTAAATGTCGTATGCAAGTAAAATATGTTCCAGGTTTGACCCTAGTTGATTTCCAGTTCAGAGTTCGTAGTGTTGGTCAAGTTTTGTATAAATCCTAACCAAACTTCTCCGTTTACAATGACAACTTGCCTTGAAGGGAAAAATCCCATTTTGACATGAAGCCAAACGTTGCGGCTTAACAATGAAGCTCCATTTTCAGGGTATTACAGTTATAAAGTAAAATTAACATGTTTCCGACTCTACAAGCTATTCGTTGATTCTACTTGTTAGGGATTCGTTGTTCACCTGAGCTGGATATTGGCATCGAGATAGGCTTGACCGCGTGACCCAACCAATTATTCTCTATGACCAATCGGCCCCCGTTCTTCGACGTCCAGCGTATATCGATGTTTCTTGCTTGAATGGGGTCGTTCAATCTTACTCTCACAACAATTCTATTCACTAATGGGAATATTGAAATCCGATTTTTTTTCCATTCTCGTTCAGTTCTCTGCTGTCAGTGAACAGGAATTGCAACAGCTGGAGATGCTTGCCCAGTCAGCTAAGCGTTTCGCCGAATCCCTTCGGGACAAAACCATCCCACAGACAGAAGCATGCAGACAACAGATCCAACAAGCAATCAACCTGTTCAGCCAAGAGGCGTCGCTACGATTGGAAAACATTCAGCGTCAGTTATTAGAGTCGTATCAGCGACGGGAACAAAGCAATAATGAGAACAGTTGATCTCCATTTTCTCTCTTTGCTGTATATTTTGTTTATTTTGCTGTATGCTCATGTTTATTTTTCCAGTTATTTTTGTTCACTAAATCGTCCCCCGGACAATTCCTCTTTCGTCTTAAGCAGTGGAAATGATCATATCCCCTAGCTTCATATGGATATTTCACCGTCCAGGAGTTTGCAGACCTGTACTTTTCTGTATTGCGATCCCTATCCTACTGAACTATCTTCTGGGTTTATCTGTGGATTCGTGGGTTATGCTATCACTGCTCAATCTTTGTCACTGGCACAAGCGAATGATCTGCTAGTCGATGAATGGTACGGAATTTGAATTTGTCCATCACTAGCGGTTCATAATTTGAGGTGAAAGTCTTGTGGCCTCTGGACGCATACAATCAAGTTTAATGAGTGCCAAATGTAGATTCTACTCGTTTATACAAAATATAAAATATATCAAGTCATCAAGCGACCTCAATTCATATGTAAATTACCAGGATATTTTAGTTGGATAAGGCACGCTAAAGCGACTGTAATTGTCCCTTTGAATCCTAACACTCCTTCGCGTAACGCTGTGTGATCTTATCAATCGTGTTCCGAAACCAAATTGTAAATACCCTATGGGATTTGATTAGCGAAGTCTTTGTAAGTTTTTCCTACAATAAAATTTTGAATTTGGTAATTTTCTTGGTCTTTTTTAATCCTTTGCAGTCCGTTTGTCTTTCACCTTAACATACTGATATTTTTACGATACGTGAATAAATCTTGGAAATAACCGTTCTAGGTTTAAGTGCAACACCAGCCCAATGCCACTGAGCTGCGATCAAGTCAATCAATTCACTGAGTTTTGTAGAACGATGGGGTCTATCATAATATAAAGGATTTGGCGATGAAGTTGTTGCAGGTAATTACTTTACACGTATTCCTGCGGTTCATTCACTGATAGATACTGGATCGTCACAGCTGATCACTGATTCAGAGTCGAACTGTGGCCGAAAACTTGGTCGAAAATTTATTTCATTGCGCTTAGCTAAATCACAAACTGGCTATTAGGAGAATCAATTGTGGGGTAGTCAGGTTGCCGCCACAATCCTCTCAAACTGAGCATCTGATTTGATCCTCGAAATCTTAGTGACCCCCACGTGACCTCGACAATGTGGACCAGCTGACCTCGCCCGGGTGTGTATTGCCATTGTATCTGGCACACAACGACCACCTTGGTGCACCATAAGATCAGTCAGAGCGATTAAACGCATCTTGCATTCGTCCGTTGATGGGCTAACGAATGTTGCGCTGTAATGATGGCATTACATGTGACGAAGCTGTACATCCACTTCTGCATATATTCGGCTATCGATTGTTAGAACTGACAGTTTTTCCCCCGTGTGTTCGCTTGTCGCCAAACTTATTGATCACTCTTTCAACTAAAAGTGATCTGCTTGTGTGTACTCAGCTGATGAAATTATCACGGATTCATTGAACGCGGACACATCGTGTGCTTCAAGATATCATGAAAATGTTGAAGCTAGCTGGTTGGATGAAAATAATATCTCAAGCGAGTAATGAAGGATTTGGCTAAATTCCAAAGGTGAATTAGTCGTGAACTGAAAAACTAGGAAGCACTGGATGGCTGTTTCAACCTGGTTGAGTT